GGATGCGCCGGCTGCCTGACCCTGCCGTTGCTTTTTTAATTCCTCTCCAAACCCTTAACTGCTTTAACGTCCCCTCCATGCAACATAAACGTGAAAGGAAAAGCAGCTTTGTTCTGGAAGTGAGCTGGTTCCCCCATTGTGCTGATGAATCCACGTAAAACTCGCGAAGCCACCGCAGAACCTAAGTGAAATTCCTACAAACCCCGATAGTAACGCCATCATCAAGCCCAGGAAAGCCACCGCAATCTCACGCAAACCCATGAAAACCTTTGTAGGGCATGAAAGGGGGACTGCAGATCCCAACCCGGTCAGGAATCCTCAGACTCGGACCTTGATGGGCGCCTGGAGGCGTTAGCTCTGCTGGCTTATGGGATCGTAAGTGCTCAGGCTTCGCGATTATCTTACAGTTTGGGGGCTCTATTCATGTACACATTGCCCCCTGTGAGCTCCATATGAAACCGTACAACATGTTGCGCAAGCATTGTTGCTTTTGTGCTTCGCTCACGCATCGCTCACGTGCGTATACTCGCAAGTTTGGTCTCAGCCTCCCATTTTCCGATCAGGAGGCGATGACTTCGCGCCGGCGTCGTTCCTGCTGCTGAAGTCTCGCGCCTACGGAGCTTGAGTTTTAGCGTCAACATTTCACGAACGCGGGCTTTCGTGCGAAAGTCCGAAATTTCGGAAAGACTCAGCAACTTTTACAAGGGTTGGGTTCTCCAACCTCCACCTCACCCCCCAATATTCAATAACTAAGGGTGTTGAGGGCTCAACATAGGGTATCATAGGGCTTGGGGTTCTGGTGAGATAGCATCTGGAGCGGGTGCAGGAAACTCTGCAAGCTTCGATTAGGCCTACTGGGGTGGTAGTTTAAATCGCATCTTTCGGTGTAAAGTCGCATCGCGGCAGCGTGCACACTGGGGCGAAGGTCCCGCGACACAGGTTCAATATGAAGTTTATGTTGAATGGCTTGTTGGAGGCCTCCTCCAACAAGGGTTTTGCAGCGTGCACACTGGGGCTAAGGTCCTGCAAATCTAGCTTCAAACGGTAGCTTGCATGCATGAAATCCTACGTGTGGGAGCCATCAGCCGTTCATTGTCCTACTTATCCTGCGAACGCGTGTAGATGGGGATTGGCTTCACATGGGGTATGTAAAGCCAGGACTTCTATGCGTGAAATCATGTTTTCTCTTGCGCGTGGCACCTGATTCACTCACTTTCACAATCACCCTGAATGCTTGCGTGTGAGAGCGTGTCCTTGGGGATTAGGTATGGAAAGCTGTGCGTGTGATGCGACTTCGCGCCGCATGATGTGACTTCTCTCCTCACAGCGTGTCCTTGGGGAGATGTGACTTCTTACCCAGTGATGTGACTTAACCACACCCCTTTGATCATCGATTTCCAGACAGCTCTCGTTTTAAGGCGTTGAGGGTCTACGCTTTGGCAAGTTTCCAGCATAGTTAGCTACTGCACCTTTCAAGCCTTGAGTAGTCCGTGCAGAGTGGCATGTTAGAGCAGCTAGGCGGACAGCAACAAGCGCCTGAAACCTCCCCATAACCCTTTCAACGCAACTGTAAGCCTTCCACCCCAAGGAGCTCAAGCACAAAAACTGGTGTTCCTAGAAGCCTAGGCATGAAGAGTTTGAGGAGGAAGCGTGGTCCCAGCGCCTTGGACGAGTTTAGTTCAACGTAGAGGGCTCAACATATGGTATGGGGTTCTAGAGCGTGTCGTCCAGTGCCTGGACCATCCTCTAGAGTTAGGGTTTAGGGTTTGGGGAGTTTAGGGTGTAGGGTCCGTTTCGTAGGGTTTCAGGGTTTCAATGTTTCAGGGTTTCAATTTTCTTACACCGGCTGTTTTCAGATTTGCGACTCGCGACCTTCAGAAACAAGGACGACGACAGTGTTCAGAGGGTGTGAGAATTCCTCCCAGGTACAACGGCGACCAGCTGCTTCATGCCAAGCAGAAGAAGGCCTCGCTGCTTTGAGTCAAGCCGTGGATGCCATCACATCGTTTCGTCTAGGACCCAGAGTAGGCTCTTCATTCCTTTCTAGAGGGCTCGGTTCCAGCACGAATCCCTTTACAAGCAAGGGTACCTTTTTTCTCGTTCCTAGCTTACGCTGAGACAAATAAATTAGAATATTGCATGGTGCCAGTGGGAGCTTTGCAGAACTGGGGGCCGAGGGGCTGAGGGACTGTGGGAGAATGATCCTTTGTTATCGAAACCAGCCCCCCGTGCCTTGCATGTCTTTTGATTTTGGTGACGCAGGTGAGGCCTGAAATCTCAGTGTTAAGGTGTTCTGCTTTGGGGTTTATGTGTAGGGCTGGATTAGTTTCATTTGAGGTGCCCGATTCTTTTCTTGTCCTAGGACAGTGCTGTCATGCGCCTGCTGTGCTGCTGCATGGCTCGAGGCAGGATCTCGGGTTCGTGAGGATTTGGGATTCATTGCGCAAGCTTCGGGCTTTGTGTAAGGGAATGTGGTACAGTTCGAGCCTTTGTACAATGACCATTCTGTCTTGGAGGCAGCAGCGCCCCTCAATGCAACAAAAAGATGCAGATAATGTCAAATGGAATCTGTTCAACACGAGCCTTGGCAATCCTCAACAGCAATCCTTAGAGACGGGACATTGCCGACTGCGTGATTGTGCATCGTTGCTGAATCCCACAGCTGGCTGCGTGCCACTGGTCTGGGTATGATGTGGGCGGCCCTCTAAACTCCTTTGGTTAGCTGGGGGGAGGGCATCACCCCTAACATCTTGGAGGCGCTTCGAGAGAATCGATGCACAAGCAAGGCTGGTGCCCCGGCCAAGCTTCGCAGGTGTGAGGAAGTATAGTATAGAAGCCTCCAGTACCAGTGTAATTCCCTGTAACTACAGTGCAGCCTGAAATTCCGGAAATCCAGACCGCTGCCTTTGCGTATTCGCTGTTTTCTTAAATAGAGCCGGCGCTGTGGCCTAAACTCCCCTACTAGTACAATTGGTTTACTCCTCTTCTGATGTATCTTCTGATGCGATTGCCCTGGTTCAACGGCCTTCCCCCCAGAATATGGTGGCCGCTGGAGCTTTGGGCAATGATAGGAAGTTTGGAACCCTGGGTTTGTGACCTCTATCTGTACAGCCTGAAGATCCTACCAGGTTTGGGGGTTTCCCAACAACATCAACTCGAAGTTGCAAACTTGGGGGGTCTAACTCCTCTTGGTGTTCAACACCCTAAGTTTTGAACGCGTTCTAAGCCCCTTGCTGCCCTGAGTTTCAAACACTCGCCCGAGACCCCACAGCGAATCCAAAGGCTAGTTTAATGCAGTACGAAGTCGGTCACCTTCTGGCGTTGCCCTTCTGGAGCGAAGCGCCTGTAACCTAAATTTTGTTTAGCGCCCATCGAGCCTCCAGGCACTTCAGCGTGAAGGCTACTTGCGCAGCGTCCCCCTAAGATGCCCTAGAAAGGATGTTGGGAAGCTGGGTGGGAAGCCCTAAGCCTAAGCCCTCAAAAGGAGAAATTGGGCGGTTCTCAGGCGGAAGCTGTGCAGCCCTAAAGACGTGCCAAGACTCCACGTTTCTTCGATCCCCAAAGCTGCCAGAATCCGCCCAGGTGGCCGCAGGCTGTCGGTTGACGCAACCTTCCCCCCATGCACTCAACCGACAAAATGCTATTGACAGGATTCATTTGGCCCTGGTCAGCCGGCGGCCCTCTAACAAAGAGAATACAGGAAACTAGGCTTCTGGCCATATGCTCCGCTTTTGAGGGCACAACGGGACATGGACATGTTCTTTTGCTGAGCTCTTCCTGGAAAGCCTGAACTTGAAAACTGTCGAAACGCCAAGCCCGACGCATGTCCCAAACACGTCCAGCTCAGCAACAAGCATCTCCACATAGAGCTCTCAGTCAAAACCACAAAGTGCACAAACTTTCAAGAGCCTCGAGATTTCGCACAAAACCCAAACGACCCACCTTGGGCCACCCAATTGGCACCCGCCCTCGGCACCTCGCGCTTCTTAGCTGCCAGGAACAGGGATTGCCCAAAGTTCGGATTAAACAAGTTTGAAGCAATCTAATCCTAGATCCAGCCGTCGGACATGCGCCAATTCGAGCGAGAGCACGGCCGTCTAAGGGTCTGTGGTGTTACTTTACCCTCTCCCGCTCTCCCGGTCTCCCGCTCTCCCGCTCTCTCTCTCTCGCTCTCTCGCTCTCTCGCTCTCTCGCTCTCTCGCTCTCTCGCTCTCTCGCTCTCTCGCTTTCTCGCTCCCTCGCTCTCTCGCTCTCTCGCTCTCTCGCTCTCGCGCTCGCTCTCTCGCTCTCTCGGTCTCTCTCTCTCTCTCTTTCTTTCTCTCTCGCGCTCTGTGTCTCTCTCTCTCTCTCTTTCTCTCTCTCTCTCTCTCTCTCTCTCTCTCTGTCTCTCTCTGTCTCTCGCTCTGTCTCTCGCTCTGTGTCTCGCTCTCTCTATCTCGCTCTGTTTGTCGCTGGTTTTTCGACAGGCTTTCCTTGGCCCAGCAGTCCTCGGTTTCGCTGGAGAGAAAAGAGCGCCCCCACTGAAGCAGACAAAAGAATTCAAAGCCGGCCTTTCCTCGCTGGACTTGGCGCTTGCCATGATACACGGCCATCATGACAGTTCACCCTGAGTTTTCTGGCAAGTCGCTGCAACCTGCCTCATCAAGTGGATTGTCAAGTTGTCTCGCCTGCGAATGATGCTCCAGGGAGACTGCGGAATTTGGGCCCAGCCCAAATGGATGTAACGAATGGTTGTCTATAGAGAATGGTTGTTTGCCCACTTTGATTATTAGCATTCTGTAAGAGAGTCTTCAAGACTGGGCTAGAAGTATGGTGAAGACAGGATCAAGTGATTACATCTGCCTTTGTTAGCACACTGCAGCGCTGGACCAGACGACTTGGTCAAGTTAAAGATCACACCACACTGTGGGCCAGACTTGAAATCTGCATGAGGGACTATGAATGAAGGACGGAGCCGTGTAAGCATTCCTGGCAGAAAAGGCAAACTTGCGCGCGTTGCCATGACACAGCCGGCGCTGGTGGAGTTTCGCGATGCCCTCGGTGTGGGCCTGCCACTCTTCGTGCAGTGTGTGGCCCGGAGAGAAGTCAGCCGTTCCTTCTGGTTTGGCCTCATTGGGTGAGTGCTTTGAATGAGCACGTATTCTTTTTGATCAACTCTTCGATGGGGAAAGCCCGACCCGAACATTGCTTGAATAACCCTTGACTCGGGGAAGAAACCCGGTCAAGCATGCTGCGCTCCAAGTGCTTCTTCTGGAGGTTCATGAGGAGCGAAGGTGTGTTCGAAAGCATGTTGTGTAACGTAGTGCCGTAGTCTTGTTGCATGAGAAGTGCGGTTTGGCCGCGAATAGGCTCGTAAATCAATGCGCCGCCTACAAAGCAGAAGATCAACGCCTTTCTCCTTCCCGTGTCGCTGCCTATTTTGACCCGAGTCGTCATCAAAACAGGAAAGAACACATATTGAACCTCAAGCACTCAAGCGGAATATGAATGATCATTGGCGTCGTTGTGTCTGGTTAGTGCTGTTTCTGGCCGCTCCGAGGCTTGGGACGCAGCGGATGCTCGGGAAGACACGGTCGAGATCTGCCGGCTAGTCATCTTTGACCCCTGGAGATTTAGAAGTTAGACGTGATGGATGTGAGGGAGGTGTGTAGTAAGAGACAAGGAAGAGAGGCTCAGGAGTCAGAGGCCATGCCCTTCCAGAACTTCTAGAGTTTTCTAGAGGCTTCAGAGATCTTTGGGGACCTGCAAGACGTTTGCAGACTCTGGCACATGTTTTGCACTTGCGAGCATCGACAATCGAGAGCCTTTGCGGCACATGTCGGCACTGAACTGCTTGCCCCCCACATTCCCCAAAAAAGGCATCGCATATGAGACAGGCCGATCGGATCTGATATGTCGCCTTCCAAGGACGGCTCCCATTGTTGGCAGGGCCCACTTTGCCGCGGAGATCTTGCCGGGCCCCTCGGGGAGAGCCACGCGGCCAAGCAGGGGCTGAGCCGAGGGCGCTCTTCTTATGTCACACATTTCTCTTTTCTCATCATTTTATTAATACGTCACAAAAAAAGGGCCTTTACAAAACACACCCTGGGGGGATCGTCTGCGGCCATGAAGATGGTCTTTTTTGCCATACGCTTCCGTTCTCTTCACCATGGAGTCTATAAGGGCATGAGTTGAGTTCTTGGCGGAGGTTCTTCGACCTTAGAGTTTCAGGGCGAGGGCGGTAAACTCGGCGTGGTTGTGACATGGATTTGCTCCATACGGTCTTGCGAGGCTGGCGGGACCCCGCGAACTTGCGATTGCTCCAATCGGCGCTGTCTTCCCCACACCTGTCAGGCTGCATGGATTATGGGTTTGTTGGAGGAATGAGTCCTGAATGTTTGCGAGCTTCAGGTTGCTTTCGACAGCTGTGTATTGCAGTCTGCCATAATGTTATCGATTCGATCAAGGCTTCAACATGGTTCTCCAATGCCAGGAGGTGCAGCGCTCGTGAGAATGCAAAACGTCTGCACGCCCCGGCTTCAGGCTTCTACTTCAGGCTTCCGACCCTCCCTAAACCCCCCCCCCCCCCCGAATTCGGCAGAGGTTTTTGCGGGGGGGGGGCTGTGGGATCGGGTTTTGGGGCCACGGTTTCTTTTTCATTAGGGGTGTTTTTTATTTGCAGGAAGGGATTTTTGTTTTTGCCACAACTTCCAAATCGGAGGTGGGTAACATTTTTGAAGCCCTTCTTCAAAACTTTATGTTGATTTCCCAAATCGAGAAGCGGGAAAGCTTGAAACGCAAACCCTTAATCTCATCAGCGTGCGGGCATGGATGCTCTGCGGGTTGCAGGCTCCAGCTTTGGGCCTCGGGCCGAGGCGGCTTGGAGGCTTGCCGAGGCGAAAGGGGGTGTGGTTTTGCAGTTTTTTCCAGTTTTGTTTGATGCTGCTATCGGTACAGCTTGCTACGGCTGCGGCATGTCCACGTAACATCACGTAACGTGTATGTCGTGGGTTTGTTGATCCCGTGGAGGTTGCTGGTACCGAGCCGGAGCTGGAGCTGACCGTGCGCTTTGTGTACAAGGACGCAGGGGATCACGGACCTACTTGGAGCCCAACAAAGCCCAAGATGTCGAACGCCGAAGTTGTCGCCAGCAGAACGCCGCTGTCTATCGCTGTCAGGAGGGCCCCGTGGCTGCGGTGCGCGCCGCCCGGTTCCGTGCCGTGCCGCTGGCTGCGGCGCTGAGCGGCCTTTGCCGCGCAGTCCGGGAGCTGCAGGTCGAAGCGGCACAGCTGTGGTGCACATCTTGGTAAGAGCGGTTTGAAAGTTAGCCCATGCAATTGACGATTCTTTTCATTTTTTGCATGTTTCCAAAAGGCGAGTACGGTAGCTTCAGCATGGACTGGGTTCTATACGTCAGTACTAGTTGCTAGCAAGGTTCGGAATAGCGGCCATGTCTGTGACCTTGGTTGGTCTTATTGGCTATGCCTAAGAATGTCAGAAGGGAGAGTGCGTTGGGAATCAGTGAAGGACTGCAACCAACAGTGTAACTGAACCCAAAGCGGAATGCCCTGAAAGTGCAGAGAATCACAACCAAGCTCCACCCTCTCATCCCTCAATTGGGCGGAGGCAGAAGCACGAGCGCAGCAGTGCCGCCTGGCCATCAACAGGGGCAGTACCCGCATGGGCATGTCTTTCGATGTCTTCCACATGACCCATGCTGTTCGCAAAGAGCTCGTCGGGTGACCCAGGTTCCCAGTTCGATGCTCCAGCAAACAGAATGCCCAAAGAGTAAAGCCGAAGCTCTTGCTAAGCACTGCGTGAAGTTGTTTGTCCTCAAAAAGCTTCTGCTTTCTTCCCAGGTCTGGCGAAAAATGAGCAGTCCCTGCTCCAGGAGAGACAGGAGCGTGAGTTGGGCTGGTGCTTTGAATGCCCACTAAATGCCGCAAATCTCCCGCTAAGATCCTTCCCCCGAGCGGTTCCAGGCTTCGGCTCAAACCCGGAGCGTATTGCGACATCATTGGAACAGTCACAGCCCCAGGCCTCCAAGCTAGGCGCCATGTCCTCCCACCCCGTAGGATTGAGATCCCCTCACAGAGGCAGAAGGCGCGCAGAGGCGCATGATCCCGCTTGCTCGCATGTCAGGAGGCTTTAAAGCGCCAGCTCGAGGCGCTTCCCGGCGAAGCCGAGGTGCAGGCATGCCTTCTGCTGCAACACAGGTGGCTGCACATGTCAAAAACACTTCTCACAATGTTTCGCGTCCGTGTAGAACAGGAGAAGCACTTACTGGAAGGACTCTGCAGCGTGTTGACTCTCGGCAGCGGAAGGATTCAACGTGGATCTGCGGGTTGTGTTTAGCTGTGTCAAGCATGCCCACATGAAGCGCTTGTACCGTGAGGAACGCGCAGAAGCGGCGATGCCTTGGCCTCTTTGACGTCCTGGCCGAAGGAGCTGCTGGACGCGAGCCGGCGCATGCGCCAACGATGTCACTGGAGCATTGCCTGGACCGTGAGGCAGAGTGCTGAAGTGCTTGTAGCAGACACACTGGCACTTATGGAAGAATCTTCGCCCCTTGCAGGTCGAGGCTCCACCGCCGTTGCCACTGCCTCGTCCAATTCGTCCACCCACTGCGTCTGCCTCCATTGAGCTGGAGAGCCCGGTGGCCTCGCTGGCGTTTGGTGGTGACAGCGTTCGTGGTATGGAAACCACCTTCAGCATCCCACTGACACTCGGCATGAGCGCTGTTGGCTTTCCAGGCGGGAGCAGAGGCGGAAAAAGAAACATACGGCAAGGGAGCTTTTGGTGGGATTGTTTTGGCATTGCTTCGGCGAAAGAGGGCCCTGGTGACTCTGCACTTGGCTCAACAGCAGCTCAAATGTCATCCTAGAGCCAACCAAAACCATGGCTTACACCGGGAGATCTTTCTTTATTTTTCACGGAGCGATTTCACACGTCAAAGTGCCTCCGTCCCTATGGCCGTCCTGGCACACCTGGCGCCCAGCCCCACAAGCAGACCCGGGAGCCGAGCTGACATGGGTTGGCGTCTGTTAAGGCATGCTCTGACATGACTAACATACACCCGTCCCGAAAGAAAGAGAGAAGAGAGAGAGGGACCCTGAGACGCTTCCTCCACAGGGAAAGTGACCCTGAGCAGTGAACCTCACAGGTCAAGCGTCCACCCCAAGACAGGGGATTTCCCTAAAAGACAGGACGGGCTGGGGGTCCCCATTGTGCTGTGAAGAAGAAGAGAGCGCTGCAGAATAACAAGAAGAAGAAAAATTAGACAGCGAAAGCGAGAGAGAGAGAGAGGGTCGAGGGCCCAGCTGTCACCGTGAGACAGAGCGTCGGGCCAGCGCGGCCGGGGCTTCTACGGGGGTCTCTTCGCTGGGTAGAAGGAGAGAAAGAGAGAGATAGAGAGAGAGAGAGAGAGAGATAGAGAGAGAGAGGGAAGCAAACAAGGAGAAGAAGATGCAGAAAGAAAGAGAGAGAGAGAGAGAACACGCTATTGGGTTCAAGCGGGGCATGGGAGCAAGATGTGAGATGTTGTGGCGCAGGCGGTGTAGGCAAGCTCACGACATGAAGTGTTAAGCCCTTGGTCCAATGAGAGCAGGACATGGACTCGCCCTTGGCTTCGGCGAAGTCAGAGACTGGAGAAGGCACCAACAGCTGTGAATGCGCGTGTGAGCAACCTTGTCTCATGCTGATGAAAGTCAAGAGAGTTGAAGAGGGCCTGAGGGAAGGGATGCCAATCCGGTTCGATGCTTCACAGGGATGCTTCGCATTTTCGTGGGGTGTCAAGCATCGATCTCTCCGGTGTGTGTGTGTGTGTGCTAGAGCATACGTAGGTTTCAAAGAGGCTGCACCCCTTTGGGAGGTATTTGATGGTCGCGTGCATATCGTGCACAAAGCATCTGAAAGCTCTGTAAGAAAACGCCAAACACTGCAGATGCCTGCAGGGCCGAGCCAGACGACCAAGGCCACAAGAGGCAGGGGAGCGAGCCTCTAATAACCTTTCGTGACTTCTTGTGACTCTCGTACATCAGTTCTAGCTGGGGCCTTTCAGTTTCAGAGCCTCGTAGTCGCTCAGCCCATAAGTCCTTCATTAAGCCTAGCAGGCCTCACATCACCCACTGTTTGCAGAAAGGATGTCCAAAACGTGATAAGCATCTTAATCCTGGTTGGCAAGGTGGTCGAGGTGCCGAGGAGAACTCGCCCCGCCCCCGGCCACGGGGCGGAGGCGCTTGCGTCGGTCGACAAGGCGCAGTTGGGATTCCAGCGTTTGCGGTAGGTTGCTTGAGGATTTCTCTTGGTTCAAGGGATTCTGTGCGTGCCTATCTGTGAAGACTTCGGCCCAGGAAGGGCAGACAGGCTTACCAGTTCTGATCAACGGAACGTCAGTGCAGAAGTTGAAGTATGGGACGTGAGATTGGAGTGTTGGAGCAGGTGATACGCCGGTCGACCATGGGGAGCTTTTGCAGCAGGAGAAGGCCTATGGAGCCATGCTGTGCTCAAATGAGTGGACTCGCGGTTGACAGCTCAGCTCGGCGGGCGATTGCCCACTAAACGACTGGACGCCAGAGCCCCACTTGAAGTTGGCAGGTTTTCGACCGCCTCTACGCAAGCCTCATGGTTGCAATCAGGCTCCTGATTTCGCTGGGCAGTTGAAGAAGATGTTTCCAAGCCTAGGACATGAGGATCGCAAAGCTCGCTTGGCCGAAGTGCGACAAAAGGAGAAGGAGCAGTCTCCACCAATGTGCGATATTCTTATTCATTTGTCATCCACAGGTTGCGCATCATGGTCGCTTAATATCTAGCGCCAGATGCAATCTCCATGTGCTTAAGAGCTGTGAGGAGGAGAAGAAGTTTGACTTCCGGCCCCGGTTCCTTGACGAAGGGCTGTGATGTGTGACGAAGACTAGAATGCTTCAGACTTTGAGTTTAACAGATTGATGTTGCACTGTGTGCGGCAATTGCGACTGAATGTCGGTTCTTTCGACGAACTCTCAATCTCAATCAGGGCTCATGTCCTCATTTGCGCTATCGTGTTGGCCTGTGGTGGCATGTGTTGGGCCAGTGTCGGCCTGTGTCGGCGGGTTTTCCAGCTCGAGCAGTGCAGCTGATTGATGCACATTATCAATATGATTCCGTGTTGGCGTCGAGACACGCCCCGTCATTCCAGCAAATAATGTTGCCTTTTTCCAAGGCTGGAGCTGCCACTTGGACCGAAAGATCTTACGTCCCCACACTGCGTTGTCCACTTGTGTGATGTTGTCTTTCTCCGGAGGGCGTTGCTCGCAAGTGCTCTCCCAAGGAGCAATACCAGCCCTGCCGCTGAGGCTGAGGGCTCTCGAGGGTTCGCAAAGGAATGGTTCGAAGTTCGAGTCGAAGGCTTTTCTAGTGATGGTTGTTGACGGGCAGTTGTGTTTGCACTTTTATTTGCATCTTGTACTGACAGTACTAACAAGACCTGTGCGTGAGACTTGAAGGCATCCCAGCGGCTTCACGAAGGGGTTGCCAAGAAGAAGCAGGCGCGTGAGGACCTGCAGCAGAAGTACGAGAAGGAGCCTCCTGTTTGCACATGGGCTCTTGTGAACATGTCCAAGACACTGCAAACACCCCTCGTCAGACTCCCACAAGGTTTCGTGCCCTCCATCCTTTCCGGCCCGAGCTGGCACCGTCCCAGAAGACTTGGCAGAGCCGCGAGGCAGGGCGAAACCGACAAGTTGAGCTGCGCGCAGTTCAAGGGGTGAAGGGCCTCCGGTCACGTCAGAGGATCCTTGATGATCTTCCGGGTTCAGAGTTGGTAGTTGTTGGGAGTTCAGGACCTCTGGGGACAGGCAGTAGATCCCCTGTGGGATACTGGGTGCCCAACACGACTCAAACGTACCCCGCGGATGTGTCCACTGATTTGTTCCAGACGGATCTTGCCTGACTGTGCCATTTGGCATTCGTATGGGCAGTCCACTGCAACGCAGAACTCACGGCCAATTACACCACAATTGGCCCCTCGGCGCCCTGGATATCCAGCCAGAATCAACCCTTCGGTGATTTGGCATATACAGATGCCATCTCATGGTTGAGGAAGTTGCGAGCAACTGCTTCGGGGCGATTGCCAGCAGCGATTCCTCCCCCCTCAAGGAGGTCACTGCCAAAAGTGCCATCACCAAGAAGCACTTCAACACCCTTCACCAATTCTGGCACATCACCCTGAAGTGGAAGCTCAGGATCTGCAATTCTGTGTCCCTCTCCTGACTTATGGTTTCTCTTGGCAGAACCGCCACATACACCAACCAGGACATCAGACTTTGCAAGGAACACCGTCCTTCCCACATGACGTCCACAGGCAGCGTTGGTTTTAAGTCGTCACCCTCTAATTGTGACACTCGTGCGAACAAGAAAGTCGGGCTGCCACAGTTTCAATCGCCTCTCTGGGAGGTCTTTTGGCATGTGTGCCGGAGCGAGCGGCCAGAGCTGCTAGAGTCTGCTAGAGTCTAAAGTGCAAGTCTTCAACCTGCTTCACGGCCGTCTACATTCAGGCACGTGTGCAAGTCCTTCTTCCGGCTTTTCCCTCTCAAACACAAGGGTCTCCGTGAGATTTCCAACTCCTCCGTGTCCTTCGTATCAGAGTTCTAGAAGCATTCCTTGTGAGGAGTGGCTGCAGGATCAGGAGCAGTGGCGGAGGTTGAGAAATGTTGCTCGGCTCTGCATAGGGTGCCTGTACAAGCGGCCAATGCAAATCTAAACGG